TTACTAGCTACCTATTTGCACTTCAGCTACTGGAAGAAGAAAGCAGTTTTAGTTTAAGTACTACTCAAAGCACAAGTTGGTGACAACTGTCAGCTAGTATTGTACAAAACTACATGCTGCATGGTAACTTTAGCCTTTGCTGTCACACACAGAACAAGCATGACTCAAGTTCATGCTATCACAGCTATCCATCAGTATTACTCTGCAATAATGTTTTTTTTTCCGTTTTCTTGCAATGACAGGTATTTAATTTTCCTCAGCTAGAATGCCATGCATAGCTATAGCCAATGTTAAATGGTCTTCGTTAGCCTCACGTCGCAACAATGTAATTATTGTAGTGAACCTCACAGAGGAAAAACAACATAGAAGTTCCAGGAGAATAACAACCTTGTGGCATAAGAACTGTAGGAGCCAAACTGAGCTATGTGTTAATGTGTTCTTTCTTGTTGTTGGTGTGCCTGTGGGGGAGTGAGTGGCCATGAGTGTGTTTAACTCCATCAAGAGGAAGCTGAAGAGGCCGGCTCCACCTGACTGAGGAAGTTGAAGGTGGAGTCCATGGGTGAAGGCTTAAGAACCAGCTGCCACAGCATCTGGATGTGGCTGAGGAAGGCAAACAGTTTTTTGACCATGTGGCTGCATCAAGGAACTAGGCCTTCTCAAAGACTCTTTAATTTAAAGCTTTTTTAAAATGTTTTTTTGACTTATCTGTAATTCAATGAACAATAAATGCAATCAATGGTCAGTGGGACCGACTGGATCCACTTCTACTCATCATTCTTCTGCATGTCTCAAGACTAAATCCAACTCGGCCATCAGTAGTAGTCAAGCAGCAGCTAAAGGGGTTGCCTGAAATTGCTATTACAAGAACTTACCAGACAAAACCAGCTGATAACTGGACTGTATTCAAGCTTTTGTCCGCTTGTAAATGTTTCTTTAAAAGTCTCAGTTTAGCATCACCTTTCAGTTTCCTAATACGATGGAGTGAGAGTGTCCAGTGTGGCTCACTGTGAGTGAATGTTTGAGAGTAAAAAGCAGCTTCTCTTAATACATTCTATTAAACAATAAATGGTCAAAAATAAATACTTCATAAACATTTTTTTTACGAGTTTTAAACAAGTTGTAAAGTTACATCCTTTTCTGGTTTGTTTGTTTAATTTTGGAAAATTGTAGCTTTAATATTGCTTTTGCCACAGGCCCATTCAAATTATCCTGGCATGTAGAGAAATTAAAGGGAAAATAATTGCTTTAATTGTCTTTTTTTCTCCTTTCTTTTTTTTATCAAATTGAAAAAACAAACAAATAAAAAACAACACCACATCAACAAATGACTGTGACTTTTTATTTGATTCTAAAGTGGTAAAGTAAATTAAGTAATTATCTGACTATGGCCCTTGAGTAGGTTTCAAACAGTTGGGATGGAGGACTCACTGCCAACATTTACGACTCTCCAATCATCTTTCAAGGTTCAGGTCAACTGTTTAAAAGAGAACAAGGTGAACAAACAAGCAGGGTGAGAATGGGGAAGTAGAATGTGTGTGCGTGTGTGTGTGTGTGTGTGTGTGTGTGTGTGTGTGTGCACGTGAGAAGGTGTGTGTGAGAAGGTGTGTGGCAAAGCTGAGCAGGAGTGAGAAAGATGAGAGCGGTACAAACCAAGAACTGGAGGCATGGAGGGGCAGAGTATGAGAATGAGAGTCATTGTTAAAAAGAGAAAAAAAATAATAAATTGGTGGATGGATGATGTGGGTGAGTGGATCAGAGGCGTAGAAAAAATGGAAAGGCAAGATTAAAAGCTAGGAGGCTGCACAGACTGAATGGAGGCCGATGTTTCCATTGGCAGAAAAATTGCTGAGATTAGTGGATGTGGCTAAGAGCACTCGATGTTTGATTCGGTCTGTGCCACAGGAGAGGGTTGTTAGCTTGCTGTGGCTTTTCATTGCATGACATTTCCTATTTCCGACTGACAAAAAAACTAACCCTTACACAGAAAGTAATATAGTAGTGCATGTGAAATGTTGATCAAGCAGAAGTGTAAATCCCATCAGAGTCAGGGGGCTAAAATAATAATTTATTTTCACCTCCAACATTTGAGTGGGTGGGGTTTACTGCAAAATTCATTATCTTTTAAAGGGAACATAGTTGTTGCCAAACACAGATCTCATGTGGTTTTAACTTTCAGGAGGATCAGAATATTAGACTGACAATAACAGTGCCTAGGGTCCATACACATTGTCGCCAATGGCAAATATAAAATAAATGAAACATTACAAATTGACAAGACAATAAACCTTAGAAGAGACACAACTAATTTCATATGGCACCTGGGTAGATTTCAGAACCTCTCTGCCCCTACGTTACCTCAAGGCCTCTTATATCATTAGACCAACTGCTATTAACTGTTCTACAATCAAGTCTAGTGGGTAAGACTTTTATTTCTCTCAAATATTGTTCACAAACTTGTCTAAATCTTTGTTAGTGAGCACTTCTCCTTTGCCGAGATAATCCATCCCCCTCACAGGTGCGGCATATCAAGATGCTGATCAGACAGCATGATTATTGCACAGGTGTGCCTTAGGCTGGCCACAATAAAAGGCCACTGTAAATGTATATTTATCCGTGGAGTTGATCAGGTTGTTGATTGTGAATGTTAGTCCCCTCCTCTTTAATGGCTGTGCGACGTTGCTGGATATTGGCAGAAACACGCCGTCGTATACGCCGATCCAGAGCATCCCAAACATGCTCAATGAGTGACATGTCTGGAGAGTATGCTGGCCATGCAAGAACTGGGATGTTTTCAGCTTCCAGGAGTGTACAGATCCTTGCAACATGGGGCCGTGCATTTTCATGCTGCAACACGAGGTAATGGTTGTGGATAATGGACACAACAATGGGCCTCAGGATCTCGTCACGGTATCTCTGTGCATTCAAAATGTCCCTGTGTTCATTGTCCATAACATAGGTTTGCCCATACCATAACCCCACCGCTGCCATGGGCCACTCGATTCACAACGTTGACCTCAGCAAACTGCTCACCCACATGATGCCATACACGCTGTCTGCCATCTGCCCTGTACAGTGAAAACCAGGATTCATCCATGAAGAGAGCACCTCTCCAAAGTGCCAGATGCCATCGAATGTGAGCATTTGCCCACTCAAGTCGGTTATGACAACTAACTGCAGTCAGGTCTAGACCCCGACGAGGATGGCAAGGATGCAGATGAGCCTCCCTGAGACGGTTTCTGACAGTTTGTGCAAAAATTCTTTTGTTATACAAATTGTTTGTTGCAGCAGCTGTCCGGGTGGCTGGTCTCAGACAATCTTGGAGGTGAAGATGCTGGATGTGGAGGTCCTAGGCTGGCGTGGTTAATGTGGTCTGTGGTTGTGAGGATGTACTGCCAAATTCTCTGAAATGCCTTTATGGGCAACAGCTCTGGTGGACATTCCTGTAGTCAGCACGCCAATTGCACACTCCCTCAAAACTTGCGACATCTGTGGCATTGTGCTGTGTGATAAAACTGCACATTTTAGAGTGGCCTTTTATTGTGGCCAGCCTAAGGCACACCTGTGCAATAAATCATGCTGTCTAAACAGCATCTTGATATGTTGCACTTGTGAAAGAGAGCAAAGAGAAGTGCTCACTAACACAGATTCAGACAAATTTGTGAACAACATTTGAGAGAAATAGGTCTCTTGTGTACATAGAAAAACTCTAAGATCTTTGAGTTCAGCTCATGAAAAATGGGAGCAAAAACAAAAGTGTTGCATTTATATTTTTTGTTCAGTTTACAAAGCACATGTATGTTGTGTTTCACAAAGGCTATTACCATGCTATTACCATGGATTTTAGAGTCTGAAAGTCCAAGGGCAGAAAGAATGCTGTTGAGAATTCAGTCAGTTTGTGATTATTGTCCATGTTCATCTATAGAGACTGTGTTAACACTTTGGGAATGAAATCTACCAGAGCCAGATTCCCCTGTGCCAGAGATGCAATCAGTAACCACTGGAAACATGTTCCAAGGAGTTACTGAAGCAATTTAAATTTGCATCTCTAGAAGGGTAACCCACTTGTAAAAACAAGACCAAATGAAGAATAATCAAAGTTGATGCAGCAGAAGTTGAGATATCTTGACTCTTGCTAATAGACGGTGCTTTAAACCATTCAATCCTACAATTCACATAAAGCAGATCCCTGGCATAATTTCGTTAAACCTGATGGATGACAACAGCATTCACCCTCCCCACAGACACACACAATTTTTATTGCAGGCGTAACTGAGATCACTGAGTGGTTGCCCCAGTGTGAAGAAACTATCTTCAGAGTCTGAGAGCTGAGCAAGTCAAGTGATCCTTGTGTTATCTTTGGTTTATTATGAGCTATTTGGCTGGCATGAATGAGACATGGTCAAATAATACAACTGGTTGTATGAGGCATTTTTAAAACTCTTTTCCTTTAGTCACACTCAATTTAGATTTGTGTGTGCTATACTGACAATGTTACAGAAATTTCACTGAGTAAAAACAATAAGTCCTTTGTGTTGTTGTCACTCTTGTTGCAACTTTACTATTGGTTTCTATCATTTTTTGTTCTGGTCTTGGTCTACAAGCTATTTGACTGCGACATTTTTCAACAATCTAAACATCTTATACACATGCACACAAATGTTTGTTTTTCGATTAAATGGTAGAATTATCACAGACATTTCAGCAGGGTTGCAACAAATCTTGTTTCTCTGATGCGTTTGCTTCTTTGATTTTATTATAATCTTAAGTGGGTCAGGGGTCGGTTATTTTAAAGCACATTTATATGGCTATGAACAAAAATAATATCAATGTCAGAAGCTAAAAAGCTCCCTTAAAAGGGAGCAATTTGATTTAAATGCACATGTCTTCATGTCCTTGACTCAAAATTCTGAGTGTGTGTGTGTGTGTGTGAGGCATCCAAGTGTAAATGTGCTCAGCTGTGCAACTGCATTTGGTGTGTGTGCGTGTTTGTGTGTATGTACCTGCATTCGTGCACTCTCCACAAGTCAACACAGGTAAAGGGAGGGCTACACTGGTTCCTTTTGCAGGAGTCCGAGGAGCACCCAACGGAAAGGCCTTGTATGCTGACCTGGGAAACCCCATCTCGTGGCTGGCCGTCCAGTGGCATGTAGCGACCATTGAGGCGTAGATCTCTCATACAGCCTGTAGGGAGAAAAATGTAAACTAGGGCTCAGTGGAATAAGAAACATGCTGGTATTGCACAGAGACAACATTAAGTTTTACCGAGTGTACCTGGTAAAGAAATAAATCCCATGTTCTCCTATCTGAGAGGATGTGTACAAAATAATAATCCCAACATGACAAGCTTTCAGCAATTAAGTGAGGCCACATGTAGTTTTATGTTAGACCTATCCAGTTTATGAGACTGTTGCTGCTTTATGGCTATTTTGAGTGTAACTCTATGGCTTTTCTGTTTATGGCAATTTGTGACAGCTGGAAAATTAAGTACTCTTTGATGTCTCATTTACTGAATGAAGGAATAAAAAAAGAGGTGACACCAGAGAAAGACAGACTAAGGATACAGCAGTGTGTAACAGAAACACAAAAAAGTAAAGTAAGTATGAGTGATTCAAGATTTAAAGAAAAATATGAAAGAGGAAAAGGTCCAGAAGCTGATAGACAGGAAAGAAAACTGTTAAGGTCTAATTGACACATCCCAACCACAGCATCAAAACCACTTGTCCAATATCGTGTAGGTCCCCACTGTGCTGCCAAAACAGCTGTAATCCAACAAGGCCAGAACAGTTCTCTGAAGGTGTCCTGTGGTATCAGGCACCAAGATGTTGACAGCAGATCATTTAAATCCTGTAAGATACGAGTTTGGGCCTCCATGATCTCCAGCACAGCCCACAGATGCTTGATCGGAATGAGATCTGGTGAATTTGGAGGCCAAGTCAGCGCTTTGATCTTTGTCATGTTTCTCTAACCATTCCTGAATAATGTTTGTAACGTGGCAGGGAGCTTTATCCAACTGAAATAATCCACTGCTATCAGAAATACCAATGCCATGAAGGGGTGCACATAAGGTTTAGATAGGTGGTACTTGTCAAAGTGACATCCAAATGAAAGCTAGGAGTCTAGGTCTCTAGGACTCTAAGAAATGACTGTTCACTTGCTGCCTACTATCTTCCACCCCTTGGGAGGTGGATAACCCACGTTGTTCACTGTACCTGTCAGTGGTTCGAATGTTGTGGCTGATCGGTGAATATGTTGTTATTTAAGATATAGTGTAAATTATATTTATTATGTAGTATAAGTCCTTATTATTTATTTTAGTTTTTCTGTCATATTCAATCATTGGGAGTCAAAGGCTGTGCTGGACACACGTTGCCATGGAGAGAGTCTGCTGTGTTAGGCTGTGTGAGCAGTCAAGTTGACTGTCTCATAAAGGTCACAGTCTCTGGTTCATTTACGTGTGCATAGTCTCTCTGTACAATGAGTACTTGTGCCCACACTGGTGTGCTCCCCGTTGCTTTGAAAGTACAAAAAAAATGGTAAAGCAGTTTTCTTTTTCCCTTTTGATTATTTCTTTTTATTTGCTGTATTTAAAGTCTATGTTATGTCTAACTCAGTGGGTTCAACTGAGGACATTTTCTGCTGTGTTCCTATCTGTTAATTACTAAACTGACATATTTACTTAACATTTCTTTCCCCCTCTGTCACTTTTTGGAAGCAGACATTCATAAAAGTAAATGCAAACACACACAAGCAAGCACACACGCATATTCACTCACACTTTCCCTGCCACCATCTATCAATTCTACCTCTTCTGAAGAGAAACGCTTTTAAAATCCATTTAATAAACTCATGCATTGTCTTTTATTGCCTGAGGCACAGCTGTCTTCATCTCTTACTGTCTAACTCTAGGGAGCTCTGTCTCTCTCTTTCACTTCATGTCTACATCTCTTGGTTCTGACCTCTTCCTCTCTCAATTATCATACAGGATGTTGCTTTTTTTTCTAGTTAGTGTGTCTTCATTGCGAGTAATTTTCTATCTGAATATTCTAACTACATTCACTGCATTTTTTAACACAATACAATCGTTGAGGAGGTTGAGGAACAGTTTAAAACTTAAAATAATACAAATTGACATAGTAAAAGAGCCTTTTACCAACCTCAGACAGTGACAATAAAGACATCAGACAGAAGGTAAATGATTTGTGTTCATATATTTAAAATGACCGAGAGTTACGAAAGAAATCCTTTTCACTGTGTGTTGGTCGGAGTATAGAAACTACAAACAGATATTCTAAATCTAGTACAGATTAGAGGGCTGAGTGAAATCTCAGCCAACATTTGGGTTTATACAGTGTGTGCCGGAGCCAGTCCCTCAGTCCTTATCACTCTTAGTTTAGGATTGGGCAACAAACAAAGCAAATTTATAGAATACTGTACATTACGACTCACTCACCCCTCTAAAAAAGTCAGTATCTTTGGAAAATTAATGTTTTCAAACTGCCTAAACTTTACGAGAAATTACCATATAGTCTATACTTGTGCCCTTTGAGTGGATATATATTCATAACACAGAATGTGGATTTGGCACTGTTCCACATAGCATTTTTGGGGGAGGAGTGTTTAGCATTTCGGGAAATTTGCTTATTCAGCTTCTTTTCAAGAATTAGATGAAGATGTTAGCACAGTAACAATGAAGCTAACGACAGCAGACAGTTTGCTTAGCTTAACATAAAGACTAGAAACAGGGGAAAACTTGCCTGACTCTGTGAAAACCACTGCATTACAGAGAAAGTAGAGGAGTTAACGGGTATTTTGTGCAAAACCACTCCTTGATCTGAGGTAATGACTTCCTGGAGAAGCTCGAGGGCTCCTGCTGTCTCCTGTTTTCAACTGGACACAAAGATATGCGAGTGGTAACAATCTTCTTTGTAACTCAGAAAGAAAGTGAACAAACAAGACTCCCAAGGTATCGGATCAGAATGCGCCTTCATGTGCTGTTCCAAAGCAAATTGGGCTGCTAAGTGTAAAGCTGCTGCACCACACTGAAGTTAAGGACCCAGGTTGTCCAATCACTGGACAAGGACCCCACACTGGCCTTCATGTGCACCTTGATGTCAAGTCTGTCAGTCCTCTGCGAAGGCCACAGGGAGGGAGTCACTTAGGTAGGAAGTGGTGAATTGTGGGTGTTTCTAGACCACAAAGCAAGTCTCCCAAGGTCAACCAGCCTCGACAAGGGAAGGCCATGAATAGGGCCAGGTAGCTGTTGATGTGCGCTCTTAGGGTAATCTGCTCAGAAACCAACCATTATCAAGGAATATGATGGACCTGAGAGTTGGCACACTTGGGGTTTGTTCATGCAACTGAATTTTGTATTTTTATTTTGTGTTTTCATGGCAGTTTTCATCTAATACATTTCTGTGAAACTGTTAAATATTCTATCAAACAGCTATCTTATGTTAATATATGTAGTTTCCTTTAGTTAACCAACATTTATTCTTAACTCAGACTTAAACTTAACTTAAATCAAGACTGTAACCAAAATTGTCATGATCTGAGGTATCGTAGCCTTTCAGTCCCGGCTGCACAGTGAGGCTGTGTCAACACATTCACATCCACATACATACACAAAAGAAAACAGAGGAAAATTGCAATCTTAAGACAATCCAATGTATAACTGCCACAAAACAAAGCATTTCCTCTGTGTTGTATACTAACATCTCCCTGATACACACAGACACTACTGCGTAACAGTACACACTTTGCAAAAATGCACGCACAGAATGCATCTCCTGCACACACCAGGGCCAGCCGTCATCCCAGCGAACAATGACGATGCATTTGGGCGAATTAGCCATTAAGCTGTCACATCAATCATTCATTACCGCATAAAAATGTCACTATTCTCCACTGAAAAGAGTGCATATGAATAGATAAAAGAACCTATTTTTGGTAGCACTTCTTAGAAGAAATAGCTGTTAAACTGTCTCACATGCTCTGAATGACACACCAACCTTTTCACTTCACCGTGTGACACATTATCTCTTTCTCCTACACGCTCGCAGACAAATTATGTACACTATAACCTGGATGGTGTTTGAATGGTGTCTAGCAAACAATTTTTAAATGTTATTTTGCCATTGTACTATCCATCAGTACTCCACTGAAAGAGACATTTGGGAAGATTTATGCTATTGAATATCCTTTCCCCATTCTCTGCAGAAAATACTTAACTCTTAATAGCTCCGCCTTGCTCACGTTTCATCTGCCTGACATTCGTACGAAAGAATCTCCTAAACACTAAACCACTGAACAAATGTATTACTGATTTTTTTGGGCCATGATGTTATTCTGTACAGTCATAAAAAAGAAGTCCTCCACAAAATCATCAGTATGAGAAGAAACAAGCCATTACTGATATGGTTTGCAGCAGTCGTCCAGGAAATTATAGTTGAAAAGGTCAAATTTGAAAAAAATGGGAATGCTGGTCTGTTCATATTAACTTGTAATACAGTTTTGGTTCTCTTTCTCTTTTTTTTTTTTTGGACATTATCTATTTCTGTAGCAAGATAAACAAATGTAAGTTGTATCTTAACAGGAATTGTATTTTACAGCCTTTGTGTATTTGTTTTTCTTTTAACTATTTCCAGTATTTAGGATAGGTCTATAATAAAAACTAGATATGTCTATAAGCACTAATCTACTAAGATCATTGCTTGAAGCTCCAAGCACTGTAATCTATCAGGGTCATTCACACCTCAATGTCATTTGATGGCTGTAATAAACCTGGTTCAGATTCATGGGATATATAGCATTACTGGCTTCATCAGTCTGTTGAAGTAAGGGCATTCTGTCATTCACACATTGGTCGCTTTTATGATAATGTTCCTCACGACTTCATTCAGACACACCTTCCGTAGTGACAGAAAGAGCCACTGTGCTTGTACGGTATTTGTCAAAGTCCTCTAATAAACAAATTACTACATGTAAACTAACATCAGGCTTATCAAACTGTTGCTTGTCAACAGTCAAATAAAATAAAAATTCTTTGCATTCCAAGCAGTTCCTTGCACTTCATGCTCGAACACTTCATTTTCTGTGATAGAGCTCAGGACCTACACTGAGGATGGCTGCTATGTAACTAATGATTAAAGTGTAGTTTATAAATTGTCACCTGTCTGACAAGAAGAGAAATACATAGTGCAACCTACCATTAGAACGTAACTCCATGTCGGGGATAATTTATGTTTCTAAGTAATTAATGAAGTTACTAGCACTGTTATTCTACATGGGTAGATGTTCCGATGTTTCTGCATAACCCTTAGTCTGATGTTGCATGAATTAAATAAAATTAGAGAAAACACTTCTACAAACAGCTTGAATCAACAAGCTTAGTTTCACCTCCTGTTAACAGTTTGTCTAATTACATTTACTATTAGTGAGAATTATTAATCTGAGATTTAGAGCCTCATCTTCATCACAGTAAAGTTTGTTTTATGGTAGTTTTTGTTTTTAATAGATGTGAAATTATACAGCAAACCATACAAGAAAGGTGTTTTGCAATGTTGGTGTACAAACATTATCTTCTGTGATGTTTTTGGATCAATACTGGAGTTGAAATGTGGAAAAAAAAAAAAAAAACCTTCCTGTAAATCATTTGACACAACTTGAGGAACACTGCTTGTGCATGCCTGTCTGCCATTTTGCAAGTGATACAGAAATTCAGGTCCGACCTAGTAAGATTAATGTCATGACTTATGGAGAAATACGGATTTCTGAAAGAGGCTATTCATGAGTCAAACAGGAAGCGCGGTGAAGTGTAGCCTGGAAAAAACGGACCTGATGGAAAGAATAGAATTTGTTCAAATCAGTTTGGAAACATTTGATAAACTTTTGTACAAAAAAAATAATGTGAAATGTTTGTCAAGTTACAGGGGACTCTAGCACAGTTTGGTAAATCACTTGTGCATCATATCACAAGTGTCTTCAAGTGTTTTTCAAAGGGAGAGTCTTTTGAACATACTATCTGAAACTCCAAGTAGAAATCAGCCTTTCCAGCTCTGCTGCATTTCCAGGCTTGATAACCACTGGACTTTCAAGTTTTGTCACATTTTCCTAACTTTGACGGCAGCTGTAGGAGGTGTGATTGTATAATAACATAGTTTTTCTCCCATTTGGCCATTTACACTTACACGACTGTTGGTTTTAAGGACTTTATTAAAGGTCTCGCTTAAGGGCCAACACTTTCAGCTGGCAAAGTCTAAAAAAAATCTCTCTAACTGAAAAAGAGCAGGTTAGAGCAGCGACTTTACAAAGATTAGAAAAAATAAATAACTTGTAAATATGCATTTGTTGCTGTCATTCAGAAACCCTTGCCAGTGAAGTTCAAGTCACGAAGAGTGAAGTCATTAGTTTAGTGTTTTTTGGCTGTTTTTTTTTTAATGAAGTATAAGGCCAATATTGTGTGTGCACATAATCTAATGTTTTTTGTTTTTTTAAAATTATTAATGAATACATCAAATTATCTGAGCGTATTTTACAGTTGTTACTCATAGGGAGGAGGTCTTAAAAGTGGCAACATACATAATGGGGGAGCAGACTGTAATGATTAAGCAGCTGTCCACATCTGTTGAATTAGATTAGGGTCCCTAAAAGTTTACATTGAGTGAGTGTTTGTTGGAAATGCCAGTACCTGACCATGAGATCACTGGGACATTACAAAATCGCACTTATTGTCCATTTTACAAGTTGTCCTTCAATCTCTAGCCACTTCAGCTGCACCCATACAGATGTGCTTGAGAGCTCCAAAGTCTAAATGCAGAGTGAAGTGAGCTATGAAAGTGCTGCAAAGAGCTTATACTGTTTTATAGCCACAACAACCTCCACATGCGCTGTTCGAAAATCTGGTGGCTGGAAGGTCTTTTCTGAGAGCGCTGCTTTGATGGACAAAATAAACAACGATGGCTGCAAATCACAAAATCCCCGATAGTGTGTCCCAAGTTCGAGTCAAATTTTAATGAACACGAGGTCCCTAAAATGCAACTTTGGAAGACACTTAAAGGTTATACTTTGAGGTAAATGCTGTTATCACCTACCCTGGAAGCTCTTGTTGACTGCAGACGGGAAGGTGTTTCCCAGCATCACCACAGTGGGGTCAATGACGATTTCTCGACTTCGACCCCGTAATCCTGTCACCTCCCGCTGCCCTCCGCCCCCATCCAGACGGAGCATCATCTCATTGTCATGCCGATCTAGGAAGACCTCATGCCATTCACCGTTGTCAAGGCGATAGGTTGGCAGGGTCAGGTTGTAGTCCCCGTCACCAAGGTTGTAGAAAACACAGAGTAGGCCCTGAAAGACCTGCAATAGGAAAACAGAACATTTAATAATATGAGGTTTGAAAATGTTTTCTCAGACAAAAAAAAGTACCACAAATGTAATAATGATAGTTATGACAGCCACATATTTGAGCGATTACTATTGGCTATGCTAAAATAAATTTGCATTAAAGCATTCAGTACACATATGCCTAATTGAGTTCAATAATTAATCTTGACCATCATTAGCTTCATGTGGGGCCCACATAACATAGATGCTTGACATCAACATGAGCTGCTAGTAAAACACTGACAAACTAGTCAGGCATATTTTGAGTGAAGATGCAAGTCTCAACAATAATAGTAATTACTACAACGTTTTGGCAGATGTTTTATCTATTTCTCATAAATGAAACCACTGTTTAATACAACTCAACTGAATTTTCGCAAAGCACAGAGTTTGTGCTGCACAGCACTTTGTGTAACAAATAATGGAGAACTAACCACTGCTGAGAGTAACAAGAATTGTTTCAAACAGCTCTTTACCAGTATGTGTGTGTAGACTCTCAGTCATCTAGGTCATGGTAATCTTTCAGTAGAAGGTAATGAGACTTCTCTTGTTGGTTCTTAAAAATGTTTTGCCTCTCATCCAAGAGGCTTTCTTAGCTGAGTGGCCTAGAGTCCTGGGTGTTCACCCCCAACTCACATGGTTCATCGTCCATTAATGACGCAAGACTCACATGCTTTAAGGTGGGAATGGTTATGACTGTCTGGTGAGAGATCACTGAAGGTGACCTCAGTGATATATCAGCAATCTACCTGCACCTAAAGAACAGGAGACACTCCTTTGAGGACTACAATGTGCACATTCTTTACAGCCATTCACACTTTGAGGTATGAGAGTCTTAGGTCATTAACGGGCTATGAGCCATGTGAGTTGTGGGTAAAAATAAATACCTGGAACTTGTCAACAGTCAGCTAGAACTCAGGAGGCCTCTTGGATGAAAAGTGAAATGTTCCTAAAGAACCGTAATTCTTCAAGAAACCATTTTTCCACTTAAGCACTTTGTATTACTTACCAATACAAAACTTCAGAATAGTTATTTATTACAATGTGGTGTCTATAAACTGCAAAATCTTTCCATAAAGCATAATATTTCCAAAGCAAATATAGGCTTGGCAGCCCACCAAAATAAAGCTGTAAGCTTTGCATTTTGGCTAAGCACTGCTACTAGCATTGTGCTGTATTCTGCAGGAGCATGGCCCAGCACAGCAATAATAAAATACAAAATTAATGAAGCAGATCAGACGGATTGTTCTGCTTAGGTTATTATACATGTGCACTGTCATAATTTGACTACTGTAATTTGACAACTGGGTAGTGGCAATAAATCATAACTGGCTGCAACAATCCTAGAGCTAAACAAGTCGAAAATGTTGCTACGGTCTGTCTTACCAGCTGTCTCCCAGCAGAATGGAGCTGAATAGAAGGGTTTTGGTGCTAAATGCATTCAAAATTACATTTGAAAACAGCAACTTTAAAGTCTCTCTACAGAAACCTGCTCTCATGGGATTATCCACAAAACCGTCCTGTGAAGTGTTTCCATTCACAACAATTTTCTTCCACACCAAAACTGCCATCTGTCTGTCTTTGAGCAATATATGCACCCTTTGAGTGTCTTTTTTCAATGCTTTGAGGGCACAAACCAAATGACATTCAGCCTCCTTGTTTTTGGACACTGGCTGAAGTCTCAGCAGCTTGAATCTCAAAATCTCAGTAAATCAAATCAAAAGAATCTTCATGGCGAGATGCCACTGGAGGTAAATGGGAAAATATGTTGGACTGACCCGAATCCAAGTCTCAGGTTTTAAAGCTAATGGGGATCAGAAGAAAGAAAAGATTCCACTAGGTTGGTGAAAAAAATTGGATCAATAGGCCAATTTGGCCAGATGGACAATAAGCCAGATCAACTCCATGGAGGTTAGCAAGCAAAGGGAAAATAACAAAGTCCAACATAGAAAAACTGACATTTTTACCAGTGAATGATTGTTTATTCTCAAGTAAACCTACTACATACAGAAGAGACAGACATGAACACACAAAATCAGGTTCTACTCCAGCAGTGGCAGCATGTGTCTCATTGTGTGATTACAAAGACTTTGGGGCAAAGGCAGTTTCATTTGCATGTTGTGTCATGTGTTTTTACAGGCCTAGATCAAATATTAATTAGGGAAAGTTATGGTAAAGCTGACATTTTAACTTGTGACTTGTTGACTTGTACAAACATTCCCTGCTGTCAGTGCCATCAAAACACACACACACACACAGTCTTGTCCACTCCAGCAGACAGACAGAGACAGAAGGAGAAAGAAACAAAGAATTCGGGGATGAGAAGTGAGAATGAGGGACAAAAAAAACCCCACAGTTTTCTCCTGTTTACACAACAAGCTGTTTCCTTCTGCCCTCAGATCTGGAGATAAAAACGGTTCCATTTTGGCTTGGCTGTGATGCCAATCACATATCTATCAAAGAGCAATATTAAATCCAAGAACCTGTGTTTTTGCATGCATGTGTGTGAAAGAAAGAGAGAGAGTGAGCAGGATAGAGGGAGAACATGTCCGAAGGCCGTTTTAAGAGGGATAGGGTGGTGGGTGGATCGTCCTCATTTCAATTTCAAACTGTTTCCTCCAAGTGTCCCACTGAGCATAATTTTCTCCCTTCCATATTCGTCTGCCACCGCTGCCACGTAAACAGAGGACCGAGATGAGAGGGGCAGAGAAACCAAGACAAAGAAAGAGAGATGTGATGGAGAAGTGGGTGGCGACTATTAACTCTCCCACTTATTCTCAACAAAATAAAGATTAAACCAAGTTCTTGAGGGGAGAACTTTGTCAAAGAAAACAGCAGTCACTTGTCAACTCTGTCTGTACCTCTTTACTAATTTCAACACTCTTCTCTTCCATCTCTCTCTCTCTCTGCCACATCAAGCCCCTCCCCTCTACCAATCGTTTCATTTTCTATCCATGTCTCCCTCTTTCACTTCCTCTTCTGTTCAAACAGCTGGGTAAAGTGTTGGACGGCTCCAAGGTTGTTTAGCTGGAGAATCGTGGCTAATTTCAAGGCTCTGTGATGAAGTATTAATTATATTCAGGATCCATCGGGGCAGTGCTTTTTAACCAGCCACACTTACAGCCACCTGATTTTACCCCCAATTAAAGCTGAACGGAGCGGTGCAATTTGGCTCCGGCTCTGCTCCCTGGGTGGTACGAGAGTGAAAGTGTTCAATGGTGTGTCTGTGTGTCTTTGCAGGAGTGTCCTAGACGAGGTGTGTATGAAGGTGTGCAACTCCATTTCTGAGTAAACAGTCCCACTGCAGGGACAGTTTTATTCCCCTAGATGCTTCCTGCGACAGACTGCTCTCTAAGCTGCAGCCTTTTGGCATTGCAGACATGTGCAGATGATGTGTTAATCTTCCCACTTCTCATGATTAAATAATGGTGTAAGAATGCAGATCATGTGCACATATACCTAATGGTGGCATTTTCCCTTCACCTTAATTTATGTTGGGAAATGAAACCAAACTCTGCGCTCATTACCAGGAGCACTTCACATTCAAGATTGTTATTTACTCTGCCAACCTATATTTTCTCATCTCGAGAGATCTAACCTGCAGTCTACAACTTTAGGGACTGCATATTGATTGGTCGTAAAAAATAATAGATACTGCTGGGCAAATGGCACCGTTTTGAATTCTCACAAGCCTTAAAGCAAATCACTGTAATTTATGTTAAATAGTCTGTGTAAATACCAAAAGCTGCATTTGGGTACTGGTCTGAAGCGTCCCATAATTTACTGATATTTTGCAAGGTTTTTAAATTTCCTTAAAAAAAAACATATGTAATTTGGTGCTAATTATTGGGGAAAAAAATTAGATGATCTTCTCTAAATGAGATCCATTTGAGTGCAAGTAAATATTTATTTCATTCTTTTAGCGTAACAAACCACATATTTGAGTTTTTTTGGAATGTTCAGTTGACCTGCTGTGCACTGAGGAGTCTGGTTCAGATATCATTCAGTCTGTCATCCTCTGGTCAAGACAATCTGAGTTGTAAAAATAAATGAGCCAGTGGGAACTTAATGAAGCATTAAAAGTGCAAAGTGGCTTCTAGCCCAGCAAGATTTTAATGCCTTATTTTAACCTGTGAATTTCTTGTCAGCAACACTAGCCAAGCAGTGGGCATAGCTTGTCACTGTTGGTTTGAAGAAATAAAGCATGAAACTGGGTACCGTGCTGCGAGAAAACCACTGATTGCTGTTTATTACCACTTTCCTTTCTTGATTTAAAGTCCTAATATAGATACATATGTGTAGGTTTTAATTTATGGTTTAGTGCTGGATATCACCCATTGGCAACACCTCCATAATGTCTAAAAAAAACAAAAGCTCCAACATAGGTCCACTCTAAATACATTCAGTACGCTCTTACTAAAGTGTAAAGTCTAATGTAATCCAGTCCAACTGTTCTGCAATAATTCAATGATATCAGTAAGCTCTGAAGTCATACTGGTGATCACACTAGATTGCTTTATGTTTCCAGGTGTTTCTAAGACTCTGGCCTTATCGTCTATGTAAATAGAGAAGATGAAAAAAGCAGCAACACCTCGCAACACGATGCAACCCAGAAGAAACCCAGCATTACTTTGACCTCAATTATATCTAATTCAATTTACACATCCCTGATAATATACATTCACTTTGTGATACAGGGTGACAGCTCTTAACCATGGTGACGTTCAGGTAATCACCATCTCACTATGGAAAAAGAGATTACTGCTATAGAACCTCTGTATTTTTATTCATTCATTCACTGTGATAGAGAGCAAAGATACAAGTGAGCAGAGTGAGCCGAAATAAGGGTCACTCTCGCTGTGAGGTAATGAGATTGAAGAGAACAGCAGCTGTCTTTACAGGGCATATTAACAATTCTCCAGACACTTACACAAACACCCACTGAGAGAATTTCTTGGTTACTGAGGCCCGTGTTCGAAAAAAAAAAAAAAGAAAAAATAAGATACATTTTGCCAAATTGACACAGCATAAATCATCAATAAGGCTGCAGGGTGGATTGCTGGTTAGCACTGTGGCCTTGCAGCTAGAAGATCCCCGGTTTGCCCCCTGGTTAGGACGCCCAAGATCTTTCTGCGTGTAGTTTGCATGTTCTCCCCATACATAACCGGGTTCTCCGGCTTCCACCCATAGTCCAAAAACATGTTGAGGTTAATTGGTGATTCTAAATTGTCAGTAGGTGTGAATGTGAGTGTGCTTGGTTGTCTGTCTCTAAGGCTTTAAAATTCTGTACGTTTTTAGAAAAACTTTAAAATCGCTCGCCACTCCCCCGCCAACACTGATTGTAGAAACAGAACTGTGACCGCTCCAGCCACTTCCACCTCGTCCAAGCACACCCCCGGGGTTCGAATATTTGGATATTCTCTATTAACTGGGGCCCGA